CTTGCAAGACCGATTGCTCGTCGATCTGACACAAAAGGCGTGTCCGTCAGAGTGGGGAACGCACCAAAGTGAGATGATGTTGATATTTCGTCAAACATGGGTGATCCTTACTCCAATCTTGTAATGATATACGCTCAACACAGCACATCGTTACACTGGCACTGTACGTAGATGATGTTGCCAGAGGCACTGCGCAAGCAATACATGCCTCAATCTGACAAAATGCGTGTGCATCACGGTGGCGAAACTGTCAAACTACTATGATGTTGAATCTGAGCAAGCAGCACATCCCTTGTGGCCAAGTGCTAACGGTAACAGCAAGGTCCGACGCTGGAGGAACGTACATTCTCGGCCGAGCCGTTATTCCCTGTTTCATGGGTGGTCAAGCTGCAGGTTTCACATGCAAGCGCACGGGGAAAGTTCCAACGAGAGCCCAAAGGTTGGACATGATTGTTGGTAACGTCGGCCAACCGCTGAGGCTCTCACGTGCTTGGGTAGAGGTAGCTGCACCAGGATACCGTGTACGTCCGGCCGAGAGTTCAGTTCTCCAACGCAAGCTAGGAGCTCCTAAAAGGAAATGAGCGGGGCGACAGGCAGGTAGGCGAGGGGGGAGATTGCTAGCTGGTAGTAGCTGCGTTGTGCCACCCGCAATTCGTTCAGCAACTTCAACAACAATCTTCCGGACGAAGGCCATGTAGGAGACCGCGGGCAAGAATCCAGGTGTTCAGAACAGTTTTTGTTGTCACGATCGAAACGTCTACAGCAGGCTTGTTTCATCTCGGAGAGATGCGTGGTGAAGAACCACCAAAATCTCCTCCTTCCCTTCACGAAACACAATTAGGCCACTGCGTCAGAGTAAGACACCGGTATTTCTCGATTCACCCCTACTCCACCGCGTCAGAGCTAGACGCGCGAAGAATACACCTCGATGCACCCCCCACTAAACCCTCTTACATCCTGAGTCACGTCCTCGGGGAAATCGAATCCGAAGGAGCTGACCCCTATCTCATCGCACGCCTTCTTCTTCATGCGGACGTACGTTGCCGAATCCCGCCTGTCCCCGACCAAAACCACCGCTAGCCCCGGGGGCGGCCCGCCAGACGACTGCACGTGCGCCTCCACTTCCCCCTTGAGCTCTGCTCGAATAGCTGCAGCTGTGGCCTTGCCTAACAGCCGAGGTGGGAGCGAGGGTTGAACAGGCATTCCAATTGGGTGGAGGGAGCGAGGGCTGAACAAGCATGATTCTTTCTGCTGTGGCGTCTATGAAACGTGATGTTCAGCAATACCGTCAGTGGGGGCTGCGAGGGATGGCAGGGTGTGATTGTTCTAGGAAAACTTGCGAGCCTGCCCCACAAACATAGCATGCATGGACTGGTGCAACCTGGAGCGGTGCAACTTCCAAGTGGCCCATAGTTCGCCTGCTGAAAAAATTTCAACAACAAGAGAAACTAACAAAGCGAGAGATGTCTGACACAAAAAAGCGTCCGCCTTATTTGCACAGCTGTATCGAATACAAGTTCGTGAGCGCGCGCACGCAGTACAACACCCTGCCGTGCGACCTATCCTTCAACATCATAAATATATCAAATTAAATATTCAGCGAGCGTGCAGGAGAAATTTCTCTCGGTCGCGAAGAGAGCTTCATTTCGGCGCTCTCGGCCGCTCACAGAGCCGCATTTCCATCTCTCAGGGACCTTTCGAGCGCTTCTTGATCGTCCCGCTCCCTCTCTACGTGAACGAACATTTTTTTCTTCTTCGCTTTGCGTCTGGCTCGGTCGAGTCTGGCTCGGTCGCTCGCGGTTTGTTCCGGTCGTCACTTTCCTCTGCTCCTCATCCACGACGCATCGCATTCTGTGCAGTCTCCCCCCCCCCATGATCTCTGCCCTCACAACACCACCAGTTTGTCTCCCGGTGCTTCCATGTCGGGTTTTCGGTACGTTGCACTGCTTCGAACATTCGCTCTCTTTGTTGTCATTTCTTCTCTGCTCCCCCTTCATGTAGTGTGTCTCCTCACTCTGCGTCGCTCGCTAGCGGAACCTTTCGCCCTTTTCCTCTGCTCTCCATCGATCGATACCCACATGACATTGCATGCCAGTCTCTCTCTTCCCTCTTACACACCGGCCTGTCTGTGTCTCGGCTCTCACATGTCGTGTGCATATTCTTCAAATATTTCCATCTCTCATCCCATACGGGATCTTTAGAGCCTTCTGATATTTTCCGTTCCTTCATCGTTCCGCCTCGGTTATCACATTCCAATACTTCACTGACTGGTGGTGTTGTCTCGCCTGCTCGTGGAAACCGGACGAACCGGGTAGCGGACGCCTCAATCGATCTGGCGTGGTGCAAGGTTCAGTCCGCTCTCGGCGGGCCCGCTCCTTCATCTATGTACCATACAGCGGTAGGCTATTGGCCAACACATTTTTTTTTCCGTCATTTTTTTACATGACATGATGAACGGCACATATTTTCTGACTCTCTGCACTCTCCGTGATCTCTCTCGCCCGTTAAGCGGCGTAAACAATAAGCTGCTGGATGACGGCAGCATAGCAGCAGCAGTAGCTCGAACGATTTGGTCGGTCTGTTGCTCAGTCCTTTTGCTCTCGCTGGGGCCGCTCATCTCATCGCAGTTGTGTGGCTCACGACGTACGTTTGGCTCATCACAGCAGATCAAACATGTTTGGCCGAGCAATCAGCTCCGCGCTCCGCATGACAATTGAACTCTGTGTGCCATGCTACAGCTTGCTGCTGCAACGCATACGGATATCTACTCAGTCAGTTGATGATACACGATGAACGNTGGGGCCGCTCATCTCATCGCAGTTGTGTGGCTCACGACGTACGTTTGGCTCATCACAGCAGATCAAACATGTTTGGCCGAGCAATCAGCTCCGCGCTCCGCATGACAATTGAACTCTGTGTGCCATGCTACAGCTTGCTGCTGCAACGCATACGGATATCTACTCAGTCAGTTGATGATACACGATGAACGAAGCGAGTAGACGCCGGGCGCACTTCTGGCGGTGAGGTCGGTCGAGGTCTATTGAGCGGGGCGGCGAAAGCTGCCAGCACTACTACCACCCTCTCCGTTCACCAATGCATACGTCATTTTGATGTTCATCGGATACTACTATTACTGCTGTATGGCAATAATCGAGTACGCCCTCTTTTTGTACCAATCCATATATATTCTCATTTTGAATACTTTTTTTATGTGTGCTGGCACGATGAATGTTGAGTACCACATATCGCGTATCTTGGAATCGATCTATTGAGCGGGGCGGCGAAAGGCGCCAGACCCCTTGTACGCACTACGCACCATCGATAATCTTGGCATTTTCCTGCTCTCCGTCCATGGCGCCAGCAGTATTGCCACTTGTGCTGCTTTTCAACACAGTCCGAGTTTCGAAGACGCGCCCCTCCCCAGCCACAAGCGCTCGGGTTCTTTGCTGGGTGCCTCGCTGCTTTCCAACCGCTCTCCAGTCGCTGGTAGCCGTCGTGCGGTGCAGAACAACACGTGGAACGACGGCGAACGCGGCGGTTCCGGTGACGGCCTCACTCAGCAAGAATAGGAGTCCTGCTCGGTAGGGTGAGAGGAACAGGGACAATGGGCGACAGATCAAGCTTGTGACACCAGTAGCTGCGCGTTGCAGTGCACGAATATAGCTTCACAGGGAGCGAACACTAGTCTCGGCTCTTGTGGCTCCCGTGGCACCCCTTCTTAAATTATTCATGGTGCCGAACGAGGGTGATCGGTTATCCACCGCAACAAACCGCATCTCGACGGAGCGCTCCCGATGGTGCCCATTTTTCATATTTTTTTGTCATCCCGTGCATTGACGGCCGCTCGCATTTATCTAGTTTTCAAGTTGCCGTCATGTACTACGCTAGCCCGTGTACAGGAGACGTGTGGTCTCCTTTTGCCTGGGAGCGAATCGTGATAAGGTACTGTACGATCCGCGAACGTTCTCAGTGCGCATGTTTACCACATCATGCAAAAGTTGGAAGCAGGTGCGGCTGCGACAACAGATATTTTGTTGTCAGGATACGATAAGATTCAATCAATCTCACTCCTCGGCACGCTTCGCAGGAAGAGCAGCTCGCGAACGCTTGTTGGTTGAGGAGCAGGAGTTGGACCCCGAGTCCATCAGAAAAGCTTGACTACAACGAAGCACCTTGTGGGCGGTCGTGCTCAAAGGTTCTGCCGCCGCCCCCAGAGGGCCTTTCTTTCTCCTCTACTACTCAACTGCTTTGCAATTTTTTCTTTTGCAGGAATGGATTCCAGTGGAGGGGCGCCCTTCCTACGACAGCCACCGCAGTCCCGGATGATTGTTGCGCCGTGTGTACGAAACGAGGCTGCTGCACTCGATTTGACGCCTTGCAGCAGAGGCGGCATACAACATTATGAGTCAATAGTGGCGAACATGACCCTATTTGGTCAGCAAGTAGACACGTGACAGGCAGCGCGCCTTGATTGAAACTTGTGTTGTCTCCGAGTTTCTCAGCTGTGTCGAGCTCTGTCGTGGTTCCAGCATGGGAAGGTGACCTCCCTCACGCGGTTAACCACGCACAGCACGAAAACATGTTCAACGCTCCGTCTGTATCTAGACTACAAACAGCACAGCGTCTCCTGACCTGCTACACACGCGCAACGCCGGCGTAGCCCGAGCCGGTTCTCTCTTCGTACTCCTGCTGATGCAAAGCTCTCCGAGGAGTCTTCTTGGACCTCAACGTCCATGAAGAGGTGCACCAGTCGCTGTGTGTTTAGCTCAGTAGCTGTCAGGCCAGGCAGGCGGCGGCAGGTGACAGTGAGGCTGGAGGTGGCGCGCGAGCGCGCGAGACCCTACCCTACTTTCGATATGTCACGGAGCATCTGTTCGGAAGCCCTCCAGAACCAAATGAAACCTAAGTGGCGTTGTTCGGAATGGTTTCGGGACCAATCTCGCCGCATTTTTGGTTTGGTCGAGGTGGGTATGCAGCTACCACCACAACGACAGCGTTGAGCTTGGCGCGCTGGCACGCTGCTTCGTCTTCGACTTCGGCACGGGCACTATTCCGCTTCTTCCTATCCCCTGTCTCGGCTCTACCTTTGTTGGTGAACCAGTGTACAGAGGTCCCGGGCACGGACACAGCTAGACTCCCTCACAGGTTTACTGGTGGTCAATCGCTTCGCGAAACCCCTACTTACTTTGCTAACCAGGTTCAAAGGTACAGAGAAAGGTGGTACAGGCGCACACCACCGCACAGCACGTTGCTCGCTGTACCAGGCTTTTTTTCTCTCTTTGGGTACTGAGACATGCGATGGTGAGGTTCAAGCACAGATACCTGGTGGCGACCATAGCTGCGGCAAGTCAAGAGAGGATCGCCGAGCTGGGGCCGAGCGAAATCTTGGCGATGCTCCGGGTAAGTGCCACATGTGTGTCGCGTCACGGAGAATTAGCTACTGCTGTACCTGCAAACCATACTAGCTGGTAATCTAGCATGCTCTGGTCTCTTGCCCTACGTTGATTGCCACCCCTTCTGTCAATCGCCTGTGATGGCGCCTTACATTCGTGTGCATGCTGTAGTGAGAGGAAGGTGGAACCTCAACCATCTCTTGTCTCTCTGCAAGCTAATGGGACACCCCCTCCTTTCTCTCGCCGTTGATAACTCAATGTTTACCAGCGAATGCATTGCTTCTGCCCACCGACTGTACGAAGCTACTCCGTCTCTTTTACTCCGTCTCTTTGCTTTTGTTGCCTTCTCAGGAATCGATAGAAGCCAATTTTGGAGACTTCGGGTCGGGCAGCACTAGTCAATCGCTTCAAGGTGTATGTGCACGTGCGGGAGGAGGGTCGCGGAAATGGGCGTTCTGTAGTCTGCTACTTCTATATGGTAGATATCACAAACGGGGTACAAGTTGCCCCTGCAATATATTATTCAGGGCCATTGTGGCAAAAAGTCGAGGCCAGGTGACTGATATACCGTCTGGGCCGCTCGCAAACTAGAATAACACCGAGGGCTCGTCATCATCACAGCGGTGACATTGTTAGCGTAGATTTTGCAGGAAGTTTAGGGTCCCTACCCGCATCAATGCACTAACTTGCCGATGCTAAGCAACAGCAGTAGCTCGAGTCGTTTCGGCCCTCCGTCCCCAAAACTACCAAACTGACGCGCGCGTGTACGTTGCCACGTATCAACCCTTGTGCTCGCCGTGAACGCTTCTCAGTTCGATCCTTTGACCGCGCCTCGGGGGTGTGCGTGATTCGTGCCGGGAGGGAATCGCATCGGATGGTACGCGCGTCTCTGACCCTGCTCTCGGGCACCAAGGATGTACGGTTGTCGGTGACCGTGCAAGCCGTTGCGGGTAAGGGGGAGGCCGGGGGGATGGTCACCTCGACGAGAGAGGGAGGGGTGTCCTTGTTTCGTGTTGGAAGGAAAAGTGTGGAGGCAACGGAGGGGGCGTTTGTTGGGGGCGTACTTGCCGCACCAAGATTCCGCTCCCGTTGGCATTCATCCGAAGGCACTCTATTTCACCGTCTTTCGTTCTTCGTGGCGAATGACCTCCGTCGCAGTTCAAATGGTGTTGGTTGGTTGGTTGGTTGGTTGGTTGGTTGGTTGGGCGAAGGCTGTGAAACAACACATGCTTGATGCAACGTTCACACCTTCTCTGCGTTGTCACGGTCTTCGCATACCAGGGGCAAGGCATCACCGGTGCAATCCCCCCTCCTCTATTTGTACACGCCCACGGCCGTTTTTTTTAGGGGGGGGGCTGCCCAACCGATTTGTGCTTGTTATTCATCCCCCTCGACAGCGGTGGTTGTCTCTCACAGGGATGATTCGAAGTGTCGATTCGACGTAAAGCCACAACAAGCGTTTTGATGCCGCGAGGTGATAGTTGCATTGCTTGATTCCGTGCCCCTTGTGTGAGCGGCGTCCACGCGGTCGCTACAAACGCCTGGTTGCTTTGATGCCCTTTGAGTATCAAGACACACAGTTCATACAGTAGGGGCCCGATAAAGCCGCATAATTGAGGCCACCTGTCCTGTTAAGGGCCGGTGAAATCGCTCGGCACAGGCTGAGAAATCAAGGCGTCTCATACTCTGAATTGCGACGGAAGCCCTGTTTATGGCCTGATTTTTCCCTTGGACCATAGCCACCTTATATCGGCCCCCGTACTGTATTCGCTTTTGCCTCTGACTTCACAGGGTGTGACAGGACGCTAAAGGCTGCCGCTGTGGAGGCGTACGCCAGGGGATACCGGCGAGCGGGCATATGCGATGATGCTGCTGCAGCTTTGCTGCAGCGGCAGCGGCAGCTTCTTGAAGCGTGGCAATAGCTATTTAGCTGCAGTTCGAAATTTCATGTGCCAAGTTTGCTTGGCGCGGTGAGGCATTGCTTGTTTTTTGCGGCGGCACCGGCGACTTCGGCGAGTTTTTTGGGGTCTTGGGTTGCTGCAGCGTCCGATGCATTGTCAAATACAGAATGATAGCACCATGTAGGTGGCTGGGGTAGATACGTTTCTTCCGTGTTGTATTGATTGGTTTGCTCCCCTAATGTGTCTTGCAATAGAACGAAGTGGCCGACTTCTGCTGGAAGTCTTGTGACCAGTCGAGAAATCATGGTGTGTGCAGCAGCTGCTGCGGCAGTCGGAGCTTCCCATGGAGTGACCAGCCTAGATTTCATAGTGTGTGCGGCACCCGGAGCTTCCTATGGAGTGTCGGATAACTTCCTTTCTCAACGCACTATGTTACTGCCGCAATAGCTGTTCCTTGCGAGTTTCTTGTGGCGTGCGGTGAATTTGTTGTATATATCAGTGGCTTGTGTGTGCAGAGCTGTTCGAGGTGTCGCAGGCACTTCTTGGACCGTGCGGTAATACGAATTGTTTATCTCCACTTTTGGTAACAACGTTCTCTGGTATTACTCTGTGGGAAAGCCACTAAGTTCCACTGACATCCTTATCGCGTACAAGTGTTCCAATAGCCCCCCCCCTGTGGACGCACGGATGCGGACGCGAGGGTTGCGCTTGCTTTGTTTGGCGATGCGGCATGTGTTTCGTTGGAGCCTTGAATTGTGTTTTAGGTATCATCTACCCCCCCCACTGCCGGACACATAGACGCGTTGAGTAAGGATAGCCGTATACTGAAGATCCACAGTAGCTATAGTGAGGGGACAATTCGAGGATGCAGTACACATAGACCCGACCCCCAACAAGTACCCGAACCCCCCCTGAAAAATAGAGGCCATGCGCGCCCCCAGGTTGATTTGTATTGGAGATTGCCGGACACATAGACGTGTTGAGTAAGGATAGCTGCATACTGAAAGCTCACAGATGGATTGGTTTTTGAGGTTGCCAGAAACATAGACGCGCTGCGTGGGGATAGCTACATACTGAAACCCCACGAGTTGAGTGATGTTGGATAGTGCCAAACACATAGATAGACGCTTTGAGTGAGGATGGCTGCATATTGAGACCTAACGGGTTGAGTAACGTCTGCGACTGCCGAACACATAGACGCATTGAGTGACGAAAGCTGTATGCGGCAAGCTCACAGGTTGATCGGTATTGGAGATTGCCGGACACATCGACGCGTTGAGTAAGGATAGCTGTATACTGATCCACAGTAGCTATAGTGAGGGGACAATTCAAGGATACAGTGCACATAGACCCGACCCCCAACCAGTACCCGAACCCCCCCTGAAA